AGCAGTCTAGCCCTGCACCCTGCCTGGAACTCCCCTGAAACACGAACACTGCAAGAAATGGAACAAGTCCCAGATGACAGAAGCAGCACAGGGTGCAAGAGTACTGTGGGAGAGCCAGCCAGTGTGGTGTCTAAAGACAAACGCTAAGGTCCTGGGTCTCGTATAGCCACCACGCGAACATTCTGGAAAGTGGTGGCCATCTCTGGTGGAGGGTGGAGGGGCCTAGGACGTTATAAAGGAATTTCCCCATTACATGTCTTACTCTTTTTCCAGAAAAGGAGAGATGAAAGCACTGCCATGCTAAAGACTGTAGGAATATTTTAATTAATGTTTTAATTATATTACGTAATAATAATATCACAGTCTATTTTACAAGTTAAATGTAGAGAATGTATGAAATAGAAATGGGGGGAAAAAAACTAAACATAGGTCAGGAACATGAAATTTTCCATAACTAGGGGCCGAAGGAAGGTGAGCAGCCAGCCTGGCGGCCCAAGGAGCGGGCAGGGCAGGGGCAGGACCGGCTTGTGGTTTGTTTCTGTCCCCTGTGCGTGCACCAGGAAGGGGTCAGGTCACCCCTCCCTGACCTGGACTGCTTGGGATGTTGCGTCTGGTCAGTGGAAGAAGGCTGTTTGGGTGGAAAAACAGCCATCTGGTTGCCTACTCAGAGCTGGTCCCCTGGTGGCCGCGGGTGGGTTTGCCGCAGAGGGAATTAAGGTGGGAGTGTCAAAAACCAAATGTGTGGAGGACAGAAGTAAACAGTTTCCTCCTCCCCCCAAAACCCCAAATTCTTGAAATGCACACATGTTCTTCTCTCAAACGTAGAAAAGTCTCACCCTGGACGTGCTCACAAGAAGATCATCGTCAAAAAACTTTGTTTCTATGATAACGTTCCCACTGTAAGAAAGGAGAAGCAGAGAGAGCATGAGGCCACGAGGATGCATTTCTGCAAAGTGGCTTCTGCCAGGCTGGGCTGGCTCATGGACATTCACCCCGCCTGGCACTGCGGCGAGCGGACATTACAATCTGCTGCCACATGGGGTGAGCTGTTCACCTGACAGCCGACAGAGGTGGCTGGGCTTGTCAGGAAGCGGGGCAGGGGGTGCATCTCCCCTCCTGACACATGCTGAGGTCCGAGTCTAGTGCTCTGCACACAGTGCTTCTCTCTAGACAAGGAGACTTTCTGCTGCCTTGCTCTAGGACCTGCCTGCTGGGTCGCATGCGGAGACCTGCAGGGCAGCCCAGGGAAGTTCCCCTCCTGGACACCTACCACACCCGCCCTAGTGGACAGGGGAGCCTGCCTGGCCTGCCATACACCTGCTGTCCTCTGGGCAACAGTACTTGACTTTTCATACAGGAAAGCACCTCTTCTACCTGGCAAAAGAGTGGCACTACTAGTTACGTGGGTCGGGCACGCATTCTTGAGCAGCTCCTTGAAGAAATCACCTGGGACTCCTGCCGCCTGATCTCCTGAGGTCGCTCACGTGCACACGTTCAACCCTGTTTAGTCACATTTGTCAGAATCTGGTTCTATAGTCTGCAACCAAAAGTCTCCAAATGCCATGCCTCCACTGTGTACGACAATGCGGGTAGAGGGTGGATACGTGGATACCGGTGGTAACTTGGGGTTCTCACTTGTAAGATGAGAGTCTTTGACCTCTCTAACCAGTCTTGAGCTGAAATAAGGCAACTACTTATACTCATTGCTGTTAAATTGGAACCAACTGGCAGCTGGCTTCCACTGGGTTCTGACGCTGGAAACGGCACGCAGGAGGCTGCCCACTCCTCCTGTGGAGCCACTGTGGATTACAACCGCCAGAGGGGCGTGGCCTTGGCGTGAGCAGTGCATCTCCTCACAGACAAGGTAGGAGACATAGCTTAGACTACGTTATCATGGATTTACTACTTTTAGTTCCTAGAAGAAAAAAAAATCAGGCCTGGTCCTGCAGAAGTCAAATGAAGGTTCATAAACCTTCAGAAATAGCTGTCTATACTACACACTGCTGTAAGGGGCCCAGATTGCTCCGTGCTGGGGAATCTCACACCCGCCAGCCGCGGGTGCCCTGCGGTGGGGCACTGTCAGTTATGAGTCCACTTCCTGGCAGTGGGTTTTGGGGTTTTTACACTACACTGTATTCTCCCAGGACAGTAACATTTTTGCTATTAACTAATGATAACATCGGTAAAACAGGTACTTGGAGTCTAATAGGCCAACTGTGGTTAGACGTGGGGAGCTGGCTCTAACTCCCAGCTACAGAAAGACCTCCTGCCCCTGGGCCTGTGTGATTGTCGGGACAGGGACAGTCGAGCCCACCAGGTGCAGCCAAAGCATTGCCTTGAGTGTTTCCTTTGTTAGAACACAAAAACACCTCCTACTGTAATTAAACCATTGAGTATTTGAAAAATAACTCAATTCTGTTTACAAATTTGGTTTAGCATTTCACAAGAGATCTGTTTAAAGAGATTACCCAACATTACATAATTATCTGTGCAAATAACTTTTATAGGCTCTATTAAAGAAACATTTGAAAGATGAACACATTCTTCTAAGACACAATGAAGGTGGGTAATTATTGACAATATATTTGGACAAAGGATAATCTAATTGTACTTTGGGCAGGAAGTACAACTACTAAAATGGCAAGTTACTCTCTGAAATATGTTACTAATTCTGTCGTCAGAATTGTCAGATTCTGTTAAAGACAGTCTGAACCAGGGACAGGGGCTCCAGAAGTGCGGTAACCAGGAAAGGGGCAAATTAGAATATTTTTGGGAGGTGGCATATACGCCAAATGCTTTCTACATGACCTCATTGAATTCTTGATTCTGTGGTCAGAGATGAGAAGACCAAGGCATTGAGAACTAGAGAATGTCACCTACTCAGGGAGAAATAGACATTTAGAACCTGATCTCAAGTTCTGGACTCCTTCTATTCTAGCAACTGACATTCCCATATGACAAGTCAGTGACCTGGAGTAGAGGAGACCCCTGGATACTGTTACCCCATCCTCAGCTGAGGTCCCTGCCCGCTGAGGGGGATGGGAGGCTATTTGTCCAACTGCCTGACTTCTCAACCCGATGCACGGTGTCCTGGGACCCAATGACTCACGTTAAGACGCTGGCTGGCATCATCTGGGACTCGGGTGCTGCCTCTATTAAGGACTGCCACGTATTTGTGGAGTTAGGGATCACAAAGCCAAACTCGAAGAACCATTCTGAAGGAAGAAGGAAAAGCTGGTGTGAGCAGGAGACACATGGCAGAGTGGAAAAGGTGTTTCCCCTCAGAGCGAGTCACCAAATGAAGCGCCCAGTGAGAGAGAGAAAGACATAGAGAGAGATAGAGACAGAGATATAGAGACAAAGAGAGAGAGAGAGACAGAGACAGTGAGAGAGAGACAAACAGAGAGAGACAGAGAGAAAGAAAGAGATAGAGACAGATAGAGACAGACAGAGAAAAGAGAGGCAGAGAGAGAGAGACAGAGGAGAGAGAGACAGAGAGAGAGAGACAGAGACAGGGAGGAGAGACAAACAGAGAGACACAGAGAGAAAGAGACAGAGACAGAGATATAGAGACAAAAAGAGAGAAAAGAGAGACAGAGAGAGACAGAGACAGTGCAGAGAGACAGAAAGACACAGAGAGAAAGAGCCAGAGAGAGATAGAGACAGAGAAAGACAGAGACAGTGAGGAGAGACAGAGAGACACAGAGAGACAGAGAGAGATAGAGACAGAGACAAAGAGAGACAGAGATATATAGAGACAGAGAGAGGAGAGAGAGAGAGCGCGACATAGAGACAGAGATAGAGAAAAAGACAAAAAGAGAGAGAGAAACACACAGAGAGAGAAACACAGAGACAGAAAGACACAGACTTCCCCCTCAGGCTGTCCTCCAAAGCAGACCTGAGGCTCCCTTCTTGTGTTTTGGGGCCTAACAGACTAGGACCCCAACAGGAAACAGTAAGCGTTTTTTGGAAGCAGGCGGTGTAAAGGATAAGCAGATGCACAGATGGGCCTTTGTCTCTTGTGGTTTAGCTCTGAAATACAGATGCGTGCTCTTAGCTTCCAGTCAAATCTGCAGGGCACTGAGACAGCCACAGAGGGCAGCCAGTGACAAAGCGGCACCAACAACCCCGCTCCTGGCATCAGAATCCCTTCTGAGGGGGCCACATTCCTGCTGTTGGCTTTGTTTTCACTGGGGCCCCCAATCTTGCAGGCTGCAGAATGTGAGCTGTGAACTGAATGCTGTCAGAGCACACTGTGGTCCAGGGCCCTGCCTCTGTCCCCACCAGTCTGGGGCCTGAATACCTTCCAGGCATTGCCCTTTGAAGTACACTTTTTGTTCCAGGCGGAACTTCTCCATCTGCTCTGCTGAAGAGAAGTTCAACTCTCGAGAGACTGCCTTGCACTTGAGAATCTTCTTGGGAACACGAGCTGTAAGAGAAACGCAACCATTGAAGCCATTTGCAATGAAAGGCAATGACCTAGGGCTTGGAGTTTCTACCAGCTGACTTAGAGAACATGTCCTATGTGTTAAGCTCCCACTTAAATGAGATAAACTGAAAGTTAACAGGAGTAGGTAGCTATCCTTTGTTTTGCACGTGGAGGCAGAAGTTCCCAACAGCCCAACTGTATCTGATGGGAAGATCTTCAAGGAACACCTGTTCTAGGCCTCTACCGTCCTCTCCGGGAGCGAAGGGAGTACAGTGGGTTAAGCCGTGGTGTATAACTGAAAGACCGGCAGGTCAGACAAGGCAGCTGCTCAGAGAGAAGGCTGTGTGCTTCTAAACTCGCCAGCCTCAGAACCTCAGAAAGCCTACCCATCAGTCCTCTGTCCTCCAGGATGAGTAGGACGGACTCGGAGGCAATCAGTAAAGGAGTGGAATCTGTACTCTCTCTCTAGTCTGTTTTAATCTAACTCTTTGCTTTTTCCCTTCAGGGAGGTAATGTGCAAATTCTCATTATGGTTGCCATCTTCATTTATATCTTTGTGCGTGGACTAATGATAAACTTTCTACACAAGTGAGTTTTAGGGAGCAGGGGAAACAAATAAGGCAGGATCCAGAAACTTCAAGAAGCTCGTGCATGTCCGTTCAGTACAGAGCCTCACCCAGCACCAGGTCGGCACCACAGAGCGCAGGCCTGGTTCCTCCTGCAGATGGAGGACAGAAGTACCTTCATGCTCCACTCCAGGGACGGACAGATCTTCTGTTCCTTGCCAGAGGATCTTTCCTGTCTCAGCATCCCGAAGGTTCATCCAATTTCTGATCATGTAATTAAGGAAAAAGGAGGCACTGATAGACTGATAGTGACCCTTTCTTTGCGTTCTAGGTGTCGTAGACTGGCTCCTAGCAACCCTTGTTTACTTTTAGCCATGTCTGTCACACTGTTAAATGCTGTGCAAGCAGATAAGGATGTGAAGGCGAGCATAACAGAGAGCCAAAGAGGGAGAGGCCTAGACGAGATGTCTTCATCTACAATAACAGAACCCAAAGGCTGGATGCAACTCGAAATTACACGGAAGGAGCAGAAAACCAATAGTGCAAAACTTCCAATTCCCTATCAGATTCTGACCAACCCTGATGAGAGGCTTCAACAGCAGAGAGCTCCCACGGCAATGGGTCAGGCAGGTCACCTGTAGGGAAAGCCACAGTCTGTAAGCTTTTGGCACAGGCACTGAGCTTTCACAGAGCTTCTTAATGTCCTGCTGTAAAATGAAAAGATCAACGATCACCAGAAATACAAAGAAAACATGTACGATGAAAAATACATCAAAACAAAATAAGGGGGAACATACAATTCAGAGGAAATAATAAAGACTAGAGGAAAGTTTTTGTAGTAGCCACCATGCTGGCTTTGGTGCACGGCAATTCATGTGACAGATGACAAGACCCCATCCCTGCGTTGGGTTCATGAGCTTGTTGGTAGAGCTGAGCCAGCGCTGTGGCCCTGTGAACTCAGAGCACCTTCCGAGCCAACAGCTAACTTTCCAGTGCTTTACTGCACAATGTTCTGTTGTGACGCACAGAGTTTTCATTAGCTAATTTTTAGAAAGGGGTAGTTAGGTCTTTGTTGTCACTCTCTTTATCTGAGACTCCAGTGGAACCCAGCCACCATGAGGGACCTTGCTGGGGCCTGGACATCGGATGGTATCGCTGCTGGTCTCAGAGCAACACAGAAGCCACCACAGCACGACCAGCTGATGACGACGTGGGGAGGAAGACACAGATTCTTAAAAATGAAAAAACAAAACAAAACAAAACAAAAAAAACCCACACAAAAAAACCCAGAAAGGCAAAAAGGGACATAACTCTAGAGGTACTACAGAAACATTTGGATTTTGCATATTTTCTGATTCTTCTGTGGGTTGAGGCTGAGAGGTTGACAACTGCTACCTCTTACCGTCAGAAAATGACTTCCAATTTTAGAAGTTCTATTTTCTAGTTTCTGTACTATTCGTTGATATAATAAGTGAGGCAATAGTTGTGTTGTTGTTGATTGTTGTCAAGTTGAGAATGACTAATAGCAACCCCATGGACAAAAGGCCTGAAGCCCCTCTACAACTATTGCCATTTATCAAAGTTCACAGAGTTTCCAGAGGCATGCTGTTCCAAGAGGTAATAATACCAATTAAAAAGAAAACATTCAAGGGAGCTCTGGTGGCCTAGTGGCAAGAAGCTGCACTGCATTCCCAGAGGTATGCAGTTTGAATCCACCAGATGCTCTGCTGGAGAAGGAGGGATAACCACCTCCTGTATAGTCAGATACAATTCGATGGTGCACACACACAAATAAAATAAAAAGAAAAAAAAAACCAACCCCAAAAAATCCATTCAGAGTTCAACAACAAAACCTCTTGGAAAATAAGCACTGTGATAGCAGAACTAGACAACATGAGGACTGAGCCACGGCACACTCAGAAATCAAACCAAAGCAGAACCGAAGGCCAGGTAAGAAGAGCAGAAAGACAGAGGAGCTGGAAGGCAGGGTAAGAGGTCTAGGAAGGAGAGTACACCATTGATGAATGAATTAAAGAAGACTCCCCAGGTTGAAAGTTCCCGCAAGTGTCCAAGCCACATCACAGCAACTTGTAGAACACGGTCGATGAAAGAGGAGTTTGAGAGGGAGGGCAGTAATCATGACCACGGCCAAAATCTGACGAGGCATCAAATCTTCTTCTGTCATCCTTAGTCACTGTCCAGCTCTCTGAAGCATAAGAAGTAACTGTGAAGACCATGGCCTGGATTAGGTGCACTTTAGTGCAGAATAAAATGAAAAAAATTATTTCAAATTAAAAAGCAAACAAACAAACCAAAACCCCCCTTTAGATGCAAATGATGGTGTTCTCCATCAAAACGACAAGGCATCAAAGATGTACGGGATCTAAAGAGACAGGTGAGGGAGTTTCCAGCACGACTGCAGACGATCCCAAGATAACAGCTCATCGGCAAGCCTGCAGGCTAGGGTCCAGCCCACGTCAGAAAGCCCGGGGAAATTCATTGATATCAAATATGTTTACATTGAAAGTGAATTTATATAACTAGGGGAACTTTTCAGGTCCCATTACTGAGAAATACAGAAAACCTAGACAAATGAATTTTAAACTAAACCTTAACACCAGCAGGGAAGTGCTCCCCAGAGCTAGGCAGTGGGTGCCCCACAATGAGCGGGCTGCTAACCCAAGGTTTGGGCTCCGGTGATCTGAACCTCCCAGCAGCTCTGAGGGGGACTGACAGGTGGTCTCCTCCCATCTCTTCCTGCTGAGCAGGATTCAACTCCACAGCAGGGAGGGACTAGTGACAAAGAAAAATCAAAGGTGGAAGGAAAACTCACAGTGCACTAACTACTTGGTTTTATGGCAAACAGTGTTGACACAGGTGAATTAATAAAAACATCTTGAGAGAAGGAGAAAGCTACAAAAGTGTGGTCAGGCCTGAAATGTTGAGGAAGAACCAAACTTATTTTTCCATGGTTGTTTCTGTGTGCTGTCCTCTAGGAAACCAACCCCCCAGCAGGTTTTTAGAGGCATTAAATTGCACGGAGGAGACTGTCCATCCTTCTCCCATGGGGCAGCTGGTGGAGTAAAACTGATTGCCTTTGGGATTGCAGCCCAGCTTCTTACCACTAGGCTGTTATGGTTGTTGTCGACTATGGTGAATTATAACACATTAAGATTAACTTTGAAAAGAATGGGAATCCTAGAACTTTGAATAGTGCTCATGTGAATCCTACACCCAGACCAAGAAGCTGTGGTCGGAACAGAGCAAAAGAACATCGCTATTGTGTGCTGTGGAGCTGCAGCTGAGAGCTGACCCTCCGGTGGGTTTTCAGAGGCAGCAAATTGCACAGGAGGAAAAAGCCCATCCTTCTTCCCTGGAGCAGCTGGTGGATTTGAACTGCATATTTTCTGATTGAAGCACAGTTTCTTACTGTTAAGCCATCGGAGCTCCCTGAAGGAACACTGCAAGGTTTAAAATGAAAAAAGATGTGCAGCAGGGCTGTGTCCTTTATTATATATTCAATCTGTATGCTAAGCAAGTCATCTGAGAGTCTGTGCTATGTGAAGAAGGATGTGGCATCAGGATCAGAGGAAGATTCATCAACAACCTCTGTTATGCAGGCAACATAACCCGGCTTGAAGAAAATCAATAAGACTTGACGGATTTACTGCAGAAGATCAAATGCTACAGCCCTCCATACGGATTGCATCTCAACATCCACCACTGGATCGATGGACAACATCATGAGAGATGGAGAAAATATTAAAGTTGCCAGCAATTCTACTTTATTTGGATCCACAATCAACACTCATGGCAGAAACAAGATTAATCAAAAGGCATGCTGCATTGGGGAAATGTGTTGTCAAGGACTTCTCTAAAATCCTAAAGAGCAATGATGTTAGCTTAAAGCCTGATCCAAGCCATGGTATTTTAAATTGCTTCTTATGCATCTGAAAGTTGGACAATGACAAAGGAAGGCTGAGGAACAGTCTATGTCTTTGAACTGGGGTGTTGGCAAATAATTTTGACTATTCTATGGACTTCCAAAAAAACAAATTTGCCTTAGAGCAAATACAACTGGAATGCTCCCTAGAGGCAAGGAGGGTGAAAGCTCATCTCACGTGCTTTGGACATATTGTCAGTTGGGACTAATCCTTAAAGAAAGACATCACACTGGGAAAGGTAGAGAGTAGAGGAAGAGAGGAAGACCCTCAAGGAGATGGACTGACATGGTGACTACACCATGGACACGAGCGTGAAGGAGCAGGACAGGGCAAGCAAGGTTCAGGTTGGTTGTTCTTAGGGTCACTACGAGCTGTTGTCAACTCAATGGTAACTAACAATCACTTCCAACCATAGCCATTTCACACAAGGAAGAAAGGTTATTACAAAGGCCTGGTTTCCGCCACTCCCACCCCCATGACTCTTTCTTTATAAAGAATCACATTAAAGACTTAATGGATGATCTATTTTTTTTAAAATACCCTTAACCATTTTAATGACTGGACATTGCTGGGCAATGGAGCCTAATCTGGAAAATGATTGATTATATTAATCATTCATTCATTCATTTCAAATCATAGACTCTATTTTACCACTCTAATGATCTGTAAGGTTTTCATGTTCAACAAATAATACAAAATTAGGGTAACTCTATCAAGGATATTGGGATGAGGGCTACTTAAGACCTCCAAGTTCTCTAATTTTACAAGTGAAAAGAAAGGCTCTTAGTTCATGAGAGGGACACACATACATCTGGGAAGTATGTTCTAAACTATAAAATATGCAGATTCATGATAATCTAAGAGCACAAATCATGAAAATCTAGGAGCACAAAGAATTAAAAGCTAAGTCAGGTGTCAATAACAATGCAAAAAACTGGGTGTCACAGGGAAACAAATTTGGTTAGAAATGTTAGGGATGAAAGGCCAGCTTTGATGACAGATTCGGGCAGTGCATTTTTGTTTTCATAGTTTTTTGCAAGTCAGATATTTCAGAGCAAAAGAACACCTTAGTTTTAAGACTCAAAGGCCAAGTCACTTCCAATTGTGAGGAAAGGATTAGGTGGACAGGCTTTAAAGGAGGGGCAGGAGAACTGTCTATAAATACCAGCACCTTCTGGGTCAGCCAGGTCTTTTCTCATTTCAAAGCTCCCTAGTGACTTACATACAGGATGAGCGTGAAGGAACACAATGACTTCATTATTTCAGTATCTCCTTCGCTCCAGGAAGCCTGCTGCTGCTAGGGGAGCTGGCCCTGTCACC